CCTGACATCCTCACTCCCTCACTCCACGTGCATTGCCGTGTGACATTTGGATTGGATGCATTTGCAAAGCCGATATTCCGCATACAGTTACAGTTACAGAAGAAGGGAAGCTTATCTCTCGGCACCCAGACCACCAGCATTGGCAGTTCTGAAGAGCCACTCACACTAGCAATGCTTACTGTACTCCCAGATATCTCCTCTGTGAGTGCCTGGCTACACCTCCCATGTTCCCTCGAATTGCTGATCCTACCGAAATGCTATACCACATGTAACATGGCATGCACATACATACCTAAATAATACATTGAAAACTCATACACGAGCGTATTGAAAGTGAGTGGAGTCGACACTTTTTCTTTATCAACAAGCAGAAATGCAATAGGTCAACATTAACTGTACTTACAAAAATAACAGCTTAAAGTCGTTCAGTCTCCTTTTCCGTGCTGCACTTTCCACCCACGTTCTCTTAATAATAAATTCTGAATCTTATGGTCTCATTTTTGGAAACGCACAGTACCTATACGGATTTAAACACTTTCCAATGGACCACACATATGCATTGACATACCGTATAGACTCAAAGGCAGGTTAAATGTCTTGCCCAATGACTCAACAACAGTATAACCGTGGAAGCCGTGCAAACCGGGGTCATAGATTCTAACCACTTGAACGAGTTTGTTTGGGTCAAGAGCAGAATTCGAAGCACTGACCTTCAAACCACACTCTACCAACCAATATTTTAACACTATTTTACTCATGCACGTTCCCTTGATACTGTTAAGCTTATTGGAGCATTTAAGAATTAAGAAGTGGATTTTCGGTACTACGGTACCTATTTTTCCTCTCTTTTTCTGTGCGTGTCTCTATCTTTCTCTGGAAACCCCGTCTTACTAAATATTTGATTTATTATTGATCTCTCTCCTTCTCTACTTCCCTCTTTCTTGCTCTGTTGGAAAATAGGCACGATGAGAATGTAAGGAATAAGGTTTGATCATGGATCTATTATAATAACTGGATAGGGTATTGCTAGTTTATAGCTGAGGAACCATGTGCTCGGGGGATTCTCGTGGTACTACAGACTAAACAAGACTAAATTCACCATGGATATTTGCAAGTTCTTCAAATATGTCAGCGGCTGTGCCGGCACAAAGCGCCACTGAGCACAACCATTCATTTGAATATGGCGCCACCTTGGATCGCCGGGGCTTGGGTTGGATGGACAAAATTGGAATCATAATTGTAATAGTTCTATCAATCTATCAAGAATCTTTCTATCTCTAGTTTCTGAATTCAGTTTCTTTTTTGACATCGTTCAATCATCCCACTGAGACATTCTTGCCTATCCATTTGTTTCTAGTATTTTCAGCCCATACACATGTTAGCAATGTTATCAGGCATTCTTACCGCATTGCAGAGAGGTACAATCTTCTCTCTCTGTACATTTACTTACATTATATACTTGTGAAAACTTTGACCTTACTTGGTGAAAACTGCTGCCCACACAGTGTCCATTTTTAACTCTAAAGGGCAGGATTCTGTAAACACCATAGTTCTGGAAGTGTGTTTGGGCTTTGTTTGCCTTCTGTCTGCTCGCACTGATAATAACTCGCCAATTTTTATGAACGGTGCTGTTCCAAGTTTGTCTTTCGCACAAGAATCCCCTAGGTGTGTGGGTCTGTCTGGTCATGGGTAAGGGCTATGTTGGTTTTCTTGATCAAATGGTCTAGTCAAAGGTTTGGGTTTGTTTGGTACAACATCCTGCTCATACAATTTTCTTAACACCACTGAAATGTCTTACTTTGACATTCTGAGTAAGAGATATTGTTTGGTAGATGAAATGCAGGTTTATTGTATGTTTAAGGCTTTGAAGGGTTACAAAAAATGTCTCCTCTGACAAAGGTAGAAGTCTACTGCTGAAACACGGTGGTGATCATAGACTGTAAATATTAACAGACATAGTGACTCCTATCTCTGGCGATGAAACCCTTTTCCCTCCTGCCGTCTTTTTCAAAATGGCTGCGCGTTGCCCCTCCCGCTGAAAAATACACAGCGGCTAAACTAAGCTGGTCCAACAAAAAAATACCCCCTTCAGCATTGACACGTATCTGGCACGTAGCGTTGAGCCAAGAACCGACTTTTGGACCATCCTGGAAAGCAATTATTGATAGGAAAAAAGACGCCATAAGAATGCATTGGAGTATTCTGTTTCCGGGTACACCCCCACCGTCAAGGAGTCAGGCCGCAAGCATGATTTAATTAATTGTACTGTGTGTAGCTCTGACTGCCACCCCCCCGACCCAGAAATGGATTAAGGGGAAGAAAATGGATGGATGGACGTATTAACTTTAAAGATAATTTAACCGTCCTACAATTGTTTTCACTCCTCATACACCAGTTCTAAGATATATTTAATACAAACACATGTTTTGACATATCGCACTACATGCCTCCACTGCTTTGTTCTACATTATAGTTGTGTCTATTTGAGTCGGTGATAATCATCCCTACTGGTGAGTGTTGCACACAAAGCAGAGAATATTGTTGCATATCACGTAGAAACTAATGGAAACATAGAACGTGCAAACAGTTGTCCTTTGGCAATACACCTTTGCATGAATGGTCGGTGGTGATTGTAAGACCTTTTGTCAATGGAGTTAGAAATCATGCAAAACGGTCAGCTCTCTCTTCACCTTTTAGAAAATAAGACTCACACTTTAAGTTTAAGTCATTTAAGGGGTTAAAAATAAGTGTCAAACCAATTCTCAAAGGGCCAGTGTGGCTACAGGTTTTCATCCCAACCAAGCAGGAGCACACCAGACTCCACCCATTTCCTCAAGTGAGTCCAGTCTTAACCTGAACCAGTTAGATATAATATACATAGTTAATCATGTTGGAAATTGAATGGGGAACACATAACTGCGATACATGGCATATCAACATTCCAAAGAGATTTCAAAAGATAAATAAAATAAAACGTTATACTGCGGGTGAAAGACTTTTACATTCCATGGTGTAAAATACTTATCTGAGTCTGTCCTTAGATAACAGGAGACACCCGACTGCTTACTGAGAGCACATTTGCTGCCTGTATAAACGCACTCCCATGCCTCCCCTCTTTTCCCACTCATGAGTGATTAAGGCTTTAATCCAGGATTATTGTGGCTTTGTCAATGATCTCAGAGCCCTTTTTAAATTATTATGCATGGCGTTTTCATAATATCTGCGTGTTGTGAGCTTTTCAGTCTGATTGCCCTTTGGAGGAAATTATGAAAGAGGTACTTTTTGCTGTAAAGCTGAGGTCACTCGGCATGCTCACCTGAAAGAAGCTTGATCCTTGCTTTATCATAAGGGAGTTAGTGTTGTGTCAGCGGGCAAAATATGCCAATGCCTGAAGAATAATCTAGTGAATATTGTGGCTGTGGCAAAACGTATACGTGTTTGAAGTAGTAGAATGACAAATAGATGCTAATTTAGCATTGGTGGAGTGAATAATACAGAGCTACTTTGTGACTATCAGTGTGAAAAGTGCTTTATAAATTACCATATTCAGAACCGGCCTATTTTGAACCAAACTTACTTATTTATTATTAGGGTTTTCAGGTCAATAGTTATGGTTTGTAATCAGCAAGATGCATTTTGAATCGCATATACAGTAGTATGGGGATAGCTTCTCAAATACACAGTCTTTAAGGGAGCATTAAAACATCCGTGGAAGTCATTTCAAATCAGGCTTTATTTAAAAAAAAGATTAAAGTTATGCTAAAGATAGTGAACATAGCATCAGATGTTACCTGTCCAACTAGCTTTAGTATTACTGTCGCCATGTGGGGAGAGTCACAAATATGTGCTTTAAATGCTCATCAAATATGTCAAAAACAAAACAGAATATGGTCGCGTTTACTGATGCAACAGCTGATCTACCTTAGCAGCACCTTTTTTATTTTTTTAAATGTTCATTCAGTTGTATTCAAAACTGTTTCCTCAACCATGGCATTGAGAATGTTCAGGGTGAATTACCATAAATGACCATAAAAATGCTCTTGTTTTTGTTGGTATTTTTCAGCAATATTGTCTGCATTTTAACTAGTGCTGTCCAACGATTAAAATATTTAATCGCGATTAATCGCATGAATTTCATAGTTAACTCGCGATTAATCGCAAATTAGTCACACATTTGCGTGCTGTGTGCAATTGCTTTTTTTTATTGAAAACAAGGTGTAGTGTTATATTACACACTAACATTTGATGCAAAATCATCAATAAATGGATGACAAAATAAATAATTGGTAACAAAAAGCCCCTTCAATGTGTGTGTGTGGGTGTGTGTGTGTATGTGTGGGTATAGACCATAGACTGTATAGAAACATCATGGTGTCATTATGATGATGATAAACAATCTGTAAATATTTTGTAAATTTGTTCATGTGAATACTCTATGCTGTTTCTGTTTACCTTCGGTATATCTATGACTGTATACTGTTTGCTTGTATTGCCTTTTTTATTAACCCCTCCCCCCATCTCCCACTTCCCCCCCCCCCCCCCCCCCCCCCCCCCCCCCCCCCCCCTCCCTCCCTCCTATGTGCCCTTCTGGGTTTCTTCTTTGGCCCCCTGTATCTCCAACTACATATTGTTTGTAATCTCTGTCTACAATGTATCTGAACTAGTCCTTTTCTTTGTTTCTATTTTTTTTTCTGTATATGTGTTTGTCTGCAATAAAAAGTAAAAAAAAAAAAAAAAAAATTTTTTTTTTTTTTTTTTTTTAATCGCGCGATAAAAAAAATGACGGCGTTAATATTGATTTGCGTTAACGCGTTAATAACGCGCTATTTTGGACAGCCCTAATTTTAACATGAAATAGGGAACATTCAAATTATGAGAAGAAACATTGTTCATATCATGCACAACTCACTTTCAAGTTCCACCTTGGCTTTTTTTCCTTTGCTAAGAATGATTGAGTTAGAAAAACATAACCTGAACAAATGTCTGGTGTGCTCGTCCAGATGCTAAATGAATCCATAATTCATCAGCAAGGTAACATATTTATTTTAAATGCCATCTGCATCTCTTATTGCCTTATGCTTCGGAAATGTATTCAAATTCCAAACTATTTACATTGACAAACTCTATCTCTTCTTTTTTCTCCTCCAGGTCCGCTGATGTGTGATGGGCGGCTGGCACACCTGCTCCTCCCTGTCCTGCTCCTATTGCGGGCCCCTATGCTGTACAGTTTTGGAGAGCGCATATGTCCCAACAACTGCCGATGTGAGGGCAAAACCGTACATTGCGACTCCTCCAGCTTGTTGGAAGTGCCGGAGAACATCACAGTGGGAAGCCAAGGACTGTCATTGCGCTACAACGAACTGCAAACGTTACTGCCCTATCAGTTTGCCCATCTTGGTCAACTTCTTTGGATTTACTTGGACCACAATCAGATATCCGCAGTGGACAGTAGAGCATTCCAAGGAGTTCGCAGACTAAAGGAGCTTATTCTGAGCTCTAACCGGATCACCACGCTACACAATTCCACTTTCCATGGGATTCCAAATCTTCGCAGCTTGGACCTCTCCTATAACAAGTTGGAAGTCCTTCAACCTGGGCAGTTTCACGGTCTAAAAAAGTTGCAAAATCTTCATCTTCGATCAAATGGTCTATCTAATATTCCCATCCGTGCATTTCTTGAATGCCGAAGTTTGGAATTTTTGGATTTAGGTTACAACCGGATCAAGGCACTCACCCGAACCACCTTTTTGGGTCTCCAAAAGCTCATGGAATTGCATTTGGAGCACAACCAGTTCTCGCGAATCAACTTTTTTCTGTTCCCACGACTAGCCAATTTGAGGTCGCTTTATCTGCAATGGAACAGGATAAGAGTGGTCAACCAAGGCCTTCCATGGACTTGGTATACCCTTCAAAAGTTGGATCTTTCTGGAAATGAAATTCAAACTTTAGACCCAGCTGTTTTCCATTGCTTACCTAATCTGCAAGTCCTCAATTTGGAATCCAACAAGTTATCCAATGTATCTCAAGAGGCTGTTTCCGCTTGGATATCCCTGACTTCTATCAGTCTCGCTGGCAACATCTGGGATTGCGGCCCTGGTATTTGCCCTCTCGTCGGTTGGCTGAGGAACTTCCGTGGAAGTAAGGACACCACTATGATCTGCAGCAGTCCTAAGTACCTCCAAGGGGAAAAGATTATGGAAGTTACCAGGAGCCATGGTATCTGCGAAGAAACTGATTATGTTTTGACGGAAACTCCTTCTCCTATGTCTGAACTCATTTCAGAAGCAACAGCTGAACCAACTTTCGGTCCGACAAGCGGCTTTCCCCCGATGCTGCCTACCGACATGTATGACACACTGCCCCCGTACCGACCTCGACCCATTCCAAACCCAACTGTGCCTGGCCACATGAGCAAGAACCCTAGAGACTCAATGTCCCGCCCTAGACCAACCCAGCCACCCCCTCCGGAATACGAACACATGACTCTGCACAAAGTTGTGGTCGGTAGCGTTGCCCTTTTCTTCACCATGTCGCTCATTTTGACAATTGTGTACGTTGCATGGAGGCGGTACCCGGCGGCCACTCGGCTGCTCCAGGAGAGCTCTGTGGTGGGACGAAAGCGCCGTAAAAAGAGCCCCGAGCCGGAGCAGAACCTTAGCTCCCAGTTGCAAGAGTATTACATGAGCTACAACCCGCACGCGGCCAGTCCCGAAGCGTTGGAGGTGCTCGGCAACGGCACGGGCTCCTGCACTTGCACGCTGACGAGATCCCGCGAGTGTGAGGTATGACCCCCGTCGCATCCCTACAAAAAGTTAAATCTGAAAAATGAAAATGCAAAGATTCCACGCTAAGGTACATGTTTTTGGCAATTTTTGCGCTGGCGGATTGATTGACAGAAACAAATTTTTTGATTGGTGGGCTATTGTTTGACTCAAAGGATTAGTTTTATGGCATGGTTTGGACAATAAGAAATTAGGCATAGCATTCATAAGAAAGGTTATGAGTTAGATTTGTTGATGAAAAAAATGGCAGTTTTTCTCAATGTGTTCGTCAGTACTCACACCCACTGGTAATAAAATCAGAGCTTTCATTTTAGAACAATCCATGCTGCGTGGGAGACTTTTAGTTTCAGGGAAAATATTACCTAATGTAATGTGACGTTTTTTATTGGCTGGAAAGTTTTAATTTAAATTTTCTGCAATACAAAAAAGTAATTTACCCTCCATAGCAGGCTGATGTCAAAATGCGGCCCACAGGAGAAATTTGCCCAACCGTGGGTTAGGAGCCCATGCCATTGGGCTTATTGTCTTGCTGTGTTGAAACTCATTTGATAAGGAAGAAAGTTTTGTTTACAATTTGTTGATTCATTACATTGAAGAAAGAACATACAAGTGCAAGTGCTGGCAAGTTTGAATGTAAGAAAGACCTGTCCCTGATGAGAGTTCAGAGCTATTGAACCAAACATGAAAATAAATGTCTTTTAATCATATTTTCAAGGATAAACAAGAAACGATAAAAACAATCTCATCATCTTTCAACTTCTGAGTTAACCTTATTTTTCTCTAGCCTTGACTAAATTAACTGTGGATAATTGAGAACATGTCTTTTACTGACACTAAAACACGCATGCCTTGATTCCGACCTTTTGAAGTTAATAATAGGAGCGAGCGCTGCTATAGGGTGTACGAGTGTACGGTAGATTATGAGGATAAACAGTTTGGAGCGAAGCATGAATCCTCTGGGGATACTTTCTTCATATCTTTTAATAGAGCCACATGCTTGAATCAAGAAGACATTATCTATAGAATTTTATAAAGTTTGAGATCTCTTTAGTCAGTGCCACACTAGACTGTGGACAAGCAAAAAGTATTAGTTATTTTATTTTTATTTCATTTTTATTTGTTTATTTAAATGAGATCCGATTCCAATGTTGCTTATTTGCAGAATCTGTTCAATTCAAAAGAAAATAAACTTTGTACATAAAAAAAACACAGTTGAATGCAAGCTGTGGGTGGTCATTTTGTAAGGTACACAAAACAGAAATGGCACAGAAAGCTCTGAGGACGTAAAAATGTGTTATTCTAACATTTTAAAAATCATTTTTTCTCCAGCAAGAGGCTTATGGAATCGTGACGCTTACCCTCTTATCTCCAATTAAATTCACGGTGCCTGCCCCAAACTATGATCTTTATTCAAATGTGTGTTATAAGAGTCACAAAAAGTACCAAAGTTGTATATTTCCCTCTGCCGAAGACAAAATACCTAGAATCATGTGATAGCTGGAAGCGTGCTTATTCCCGAGCTGTGAGCTTCAACGTCGGCAATGAATGGAGTTCTAGCATTTTACCAATCTGTAAAAATAAGTTCATAAATGTTTGAATACTGCCGTAAATCTGTCAGTTTTACCCCGCTCTGGACCCAGCAGAAAGGCCGCAGCACCACGGCCTGTTTGTCCTGCAGGTTATTATGTTCAACAAGAGAGAATACCAATGTTAAAAATAATAATATAAATGACAGACACCAAACTAGAGTTTATATGTTGTATTGAAGAGTTTGCAAGCAATATTACAAATGTAACAGTCGAAGAACAAGTCTCGCTTCGCGTTGAAGATAAGGAGCGGCCCCAGAGACGTCTCTCCCTCCTGATCAGAAAGAAATACTATATATATATATATATATATATATAGTACATCCAAAGTCAGTGACATCACAGATTTTATATACTTTTTATACAGCAATGCTACTTATTACTTCTTACTATTCAGAAATAATAACCTCGACCTAAGGGCATCTTGAGAGAATTCATTTTGACAGGTGCTTTTTAGACCTAAACTTTCTGGAGTTTGCTAAGTAGTTATTAATTTAGCAACAGAGAGAATACTAAACTGATTTAGTTTAGCGAGTGCAGGAGGCCTCTATTATTGTACATTGGTCATCTGCTCCTTATGGACCAATGGCTTTATGGTTTTTTGTATCATAGCATTTCTAGTGTTTACACTGGTTGATTCTTTGATCTGCGTTGGCGATTTCAACGGTTGCGTTGAGTCCTCTGAGATAACTACTGTTGTGATTTAGTAGAGGCTATGCAAGAATTAATTTAATGTACGTTATTTCTTTTCTTCCATATGTTTGAAGGAAATACAATTAGACGCAACTTGTTTGTTTATGACGGTATAGTGTGCTATTATACAACAGGCACTTGCGACGGCCTGCTGAATCAAGACCCCGATCTCCCCAGTTTCTATGGTAACGGAAAACATTATTATATTATTATCACACACAAAAATGCTATTTAAACTGCAGGTTTCGAGGCAGCACCCGATAATACTGTGTTCTGCTTGACACAAATAGTTGGCAGAAAAAAGGGCTCTCAAAACACTTCTTTCAAAAATCTTGTTTACAAATATAATCGGTCTGATAGATTTTGATAAATTCAGGAAGTAAACCCGATGTTCATACACTGATATCACCATAAGGACACAGGTTTTGGAGACTATTTACATTCAAACCAATTTGAATGTATTGGTTTCAATGTCATGACATAATTAAATAATACAAGAAAAATGAAAAAAAAAAAAAAAATACAGCAAAACTTGAATATTATTTGGACAAACTTGAAACAAAACCTAAAAAATGTCTCTGTATTTCAACTAATCATCCGCTCTTTATTCCGGATGTCTGTTTCCCGAATGTACTCAAAAATAAAAGGCAAAAAAACCAGCCGGCGCAGGAACAACTTCTCTGTCGGTGTGAAGTTGTAAAGGGGAGAGGGAGGCGTGATGAGTGCAAACGCGATATCGGATCAACACACAGGTCAGTGGAAAACCCAACAAGACGCAAGTGAAGCTCTCAGCTCACTGGGTTCATTTGGAAGAAAACATCTTCGCTGCGGAGAAGGTCATGGTTTTGTGAATAGCAGAATGTAAGAACGTTTATCACACATTCCAATGAGAGTGGGAGCTATTACGGAGTACTGAGTCTGTCAAGTGCTCGGCTGAATTGTGTTAGTGAAATAAATACCAATTCAATCAGACACTCGGCAAAGATTGTTGAGCAGTTCAGATGATACGTTTTGGTTGCAGTCTATGAAACGCTTGTAGTTGCGGAGAAAAAAAAAATTGTAAACTTATTCGAAAAATTGGCTTTGTGTAAGATTCTGGCTTTGAGTACAACTTTGATACCGCAATATCAATCCAATCCACTTTATTTATATATTTTCAAATATATATATTTCTGAATTGCTGCACAGAGATAATAATCAGCACAATTTTGCCATCCTTACGTAAAAAATAATGACAAAAATCATAGAAGTAAAACATTATGCACAGAGTAACAATACTAATGTAGAAATAAGAAAAACAATAAAGCACCAGTGGACAATACAAATGTGATAAAAACAATAAAATACTAGTTATCCGATTTAAAAATACTAATAAGAAAAAAAAACACTAAAACAAATAAAAAATGAACAGAAGAAAATAATAATAAAGTGAACTGGAGTATGAACTGCTGATCCGAAAAAAAAAAAAAGTGTGCATATCTTTCATATAAGATGTGTCTCCAAAGCACCGTTTAGAGTTTACACTACACACCAAGTCCCTCATTATAATATTACAGTATTTTCAATAGACCTAAATCAACCATGTCCAAACTAAGGTCTGAGGGCCAAATGCGGCCCACTGTTTCATTTTATCTGGCCCACTGCCTCGCCAACACAAAATAATCATCAATAGACAGTGTGATCCAGCCAACTTCAGCTAACTTAATGTAGCTAATTTTAATGCCTCAAACAGCCTGAATCCAGTCTAAACAGTTTTACAATCAGGGTCGTTGGCCCTTAATACAAGTCTGGATAATTAAAGTGGCCCTCTTACAACAAAGTTTAGACACCCCTGCCCTAAATGATAGCGGTAACTTCCCTGCTGTTTGTACCTGCAGTGATTCCATCGTTGTATCGGTCTGCAGGGGAATTTCAGTGTTGAATCACCAGTTACTGAACAGTAGGAGCACACAGCACAAGATAAAAATAACTCTTTACTAAAATAAAATAAAATGTCTAATTCAAGCATGTCTAAAATCTCCAACTTTAGCATAATATACAGTAAAAGCTTAGACGCAAGAATTAAGGGTGAGGAGCTTGGTCACAACAGGAGCTCGAAGTAGAGCCACTGCTTTTCCACGCCAAGAGGAGTATGTTTCAGTATGAGTAGCTGGACTCTTTGTGACGCTGTGGCTCTGTAAATATGGCCTTCGATGACTCATTTACTTTAATTATGAGTGGAAACAATCTCCAAATGTTTGCCGCTTAAAGATTCTGTGGTAAATATCAAGGAGCCTACGGTCATGAGTTTTGGGTAATGACCAGAAAGACAAGATTACAGATACAAACGGTCTAAATGTGTTTCTATTGTAAAGAGGCTGGGCACTCCCTTAGATAATGAGTGAGAGGAGGAGCTCGGAGTAGAGCCGCTGCATCTCTAAATCAAGAGAACCAGTTAAGGTGGCTCGGGCATCTGTTTGGGATGCCTCCTTTTCCCAGCATGTCCCCTGCCTCTCGTATGTTTAATGTAGTGATTATTTAGAATTCACACTGTTCAGATTGGAAGCAGCTTGCCTTGAAGCCACACACAATGTTTTTGACCCGACAGCCGCTGTTTGTGGGTGGTACGTGCAATGAAAGTGCATAACCTTCTCAATATAGGATTTTTCATTCAAGTTATGCTGAGAAAATATTCTGACTTCCAGTATCACTTTTTTCTCTGATACGCCTACAATTCTAAGAAAAAAA